TAAGTTCAGATTCTAATGCTGACACCACTTAAGTTGTATGCAAATATCACCTATTGTTTTCCTTTGTAAGGTCAGAGCAGAAAACGCTGCCCTTATCTGATTGTAGAATTTCTAGAATTGGAACTCTCTTAACATCTTAGCTGCAAAGATATTTTTCACTTTTCACAGGATAAGGAGAGAGAGGCCAGAAGTTCAGTCTGCTGTTTATGTTTCTGTCTAAGGACTATTTTCTATGTTTCTATTTTCAGCACAATTATACTTGGAATATATTGATTCAGTGACATGAGTGCATGTTCTGTAGTCATCTTTTTGGGGGAAAAAATGAACAACAAATATACACAGCAAGCACACCTGCAGAATGTTAAGTGAGAGTTGCTTCCCTGCCGGAGTGTGTGTGTGTGTCTTTGTGCTGAAATCCTGGGGTATTCTTTACGGCGTTCATGTTAAAGATGACGGAAGAGGTGCAAGAGTCTGGGCTTGTAGGTTGAAAGACCCTGACCTGCAGGCCTCCTCATGATGGCCTCCCATTCCACGTCTTTTATCCAGACGTGGCTCCTCTGAGCCTCACATTTCTAACAGGGATTCCAGGCCCTGTTTCTGTTGACCATCCCTGTTGACCTCCCACTTGGAGCCAGTCGGCCTGCACACCCCTGGCCCTGGACTTTGAAGAGGTCTATTCCTGACATAAATCTCTTAAACATGTGGGCAGAGCATTGCTGTAGAGTAAGGACATTCCACCTTTGCCAGGGATGCTGCTGGGGCCAAGTTCCCTCACCCTTTGACAAGCAGTTTTCTCTTGTTCACGAAGGGGAGGGGTCTCAGTTCCATGCTCACTTGGCCGGGAGTTGGACCCACAGGGCATGTGACTAGTGATGAGAACAGAAACCCATCGAGCCATCAGGATCAAGACCCTCTGCCCTTCTTTCAGAGTGTGGAGAACCCTTGCAAGGCGGTCTTCTTTCATCTGCCTGAAGGAAGTATCTTGAAGGTAGATTCTGCCATGTCCACACGTCCTCAGTGACACACGTCACCTGGTACGCAGTCTTGCTCGTTAAATGCTGGTGGAATAACTAGGGAGGTGCTCTCTTGAGCCCCATGTGTAATGGCTGCAGCTGACCAACCACCATTTTGCATCCAGCATCAGAGCCTCAGAGACTGTGCCTGAGTGACCCATGGTTTCCACGGGAGTAGCTTTTTCCTCTGCAAGGTGGCGACGATGACATGTGCTTGGGGCTTTTGTGAAGACTTAATGAAAAAGACGTCCCGAAGCAGCAGTTCAGGTAGGCGTTTGGAGAGGGGAGGAGTGGAGGCAGACCCGGGCTTCCTCCACCACCCCTGCTTCTCCTGGAAATGCAAAGGTGCCTGTGGTTCCCGGTCTCTTTTCTCATCTGGACAGTGAAGTTAGATGGCTCCTGCCTCACAGAATCATTCACAGTGACAAAAGGAGGCGATAAAAGGGTTACAGGGATCTGCCCATGTGAGGGACTGAGTATTCAGAGAAAGAAGCGTGGGCTGAGGCTTCGAAGCCTTTGGTGCATGTCAGCCTGCAGCAGGAGCACCCGCAACCAGGGTCATCCCACAGGAGGTGACAGGGCCACACCATGTGCATGTGCTGCTTTTCCCATCAGTAGTGATGGGTCTGTAGAGATTCTCTTCTTGTACACGTGGAATTCGTGTCATCACATAGCTAGAATTCCAGGCCTTACAAGTACTAAGGAACTTAGTGTGTGAACTTACACAGGACATTCTGCATGCCTGTGTGTAAAGTTTCCTGTACATGCAGCTGTTCTTGGTAATAGTGCAGGTGCTTCTCATGTCCTTCACCTTGTGACTGGTGCATTTGGCTCCCGTCTGTCATCCATGCTTGGTGAGACTGGTGTGGTGGGACAGGTAACATGACTGGCTCACAGTTCTGCCTGGGTTTGCCCCACATACTGGGGGATTAATCTAGTATCCACATTCAAAGAATGAAAATGCTTGCTGTGGGCAGGAATTTCTAGACCGTTGGCGACCATCTTTAGGCTCTGTTTCATCGATGTCACACCTGCAGTTTGTAGAGGGCCCTGGGGTTCCTCCTATCCAGCTTCACATTTTTTCACATGGGAAACTGAGGCCCAGAGAAGCAACTGACAGAAGTCAGTAATCTCAGTAGAGAGAGTCCCTGATAGCTGCATCCCACATGCTTGGTCACCCGCCAGGAGCAGATGGAATGAGATAAACTCCTCTCGCCCACAGCACAGGGTCCCCTGGGAAATACGCCTGTGGTTGTCTTACAACTCTTTAGACAGACAGAGGTGCCCATCTTTCTCAGATACGGCATTCACAGCTGGAGCACTTTCACCTGAGAACTGGAGTGGGGACCCTGTTTGGGTTCTGACATGACATCCTTCTTGGTCCTGGCTGACTTGACTCAGCCTTATTCTGTGCCAGCTGCTGTGCTCTGCATCTTACATGGACCATACCATGTAACCATCCAGCAAGGAAGCTCTGATGTGGGAGTAACCGGATTCCTTGGGTGAGGCAGTGAACATGAGAGAGTTCCAGTCATTTTCTAATGCCACGTAGAGCACACGGTCGGCCCAAGGTGAAGTCGGGCCAGCTGATGTAACTCTTCCTCATGCCTGGCACGTGTAGGAAGAGCATGACACAGGTGGTGTCAGGATCAGTTACAGACTGGTGCATGGACTCACTGGATGCCCTGCACTTAGCTGTGTGTGTATGTATGGGTATTGATGCTTATGGATCTGTGCTAGTGTGTCTAGTGTCTGAGTGTTTGATTAGCTTGTGCTGGGTGGGAGGTTGGCCTTGGTGTTTACCAGAAGTAGGAGGGATTGTCTTTATAGCATGCGTGTCGTAGCTCCGCCGTCAGTGCCTGAATTCATCCTCATTTTCTAAGGAAATGGCATCAGCTAAGCATCAGAAGGTCCAGGTTTTCATCCCAGTTTCAGTGTTGCTTCACTGTGAGAACTAGCCAGGTCAGGGACCTTCTCTGAGCCTCGGTTTGCCCGTGTCTGGAGGGTCCTGAGACATTAGGACCTGTGATCTGCACCGCTGTGCTCACAGTGGGCCATGGCTACAGTTTCTATGGTGCACTCAAGCCCAGCAGCTGGAATGCTGCTGGAAAACCCAGGGGACCCATTCAACAGGGTGGGGTGAGCACAGGTCGCCTCCATGACGGGGCTACGGGACTCCAGAACAGCACTGCCACATCACTGCGTCCTTCTCTAGCCTAGTCACCAAGAAAATTTGCAATTAGAGTCCTTGCCAGTGTGCCAGTGCCTGGGCAGCCACTCCAGGTGGGTGAGTGGGAGATGCAGCCTGATGCTGCAGTAGGAAGTCCTGTGGGCCAGCTGACTGTGTGGGCCTAAGAATAACACTGCGTTTACAGACTGTTGGTGCAGGGGTCCCTGGGAACAAGGAGGGGGAGGGGAGCAGTGGTTACATCTCAGGACTGCCAGAGTGACCAGGTCAGAGAGTGAACGCAAGAGACATGAGTGGAACAGGGTCATGTGGGAACCAGCACCAAGATGGCCTTTGCACAAGTGCAGTGGGGAGCCGTGGCAGTGTCCCTGATGCCTTGTATACAGCAGGAGGAGTATCCCACAGGGAGCCTGGGCACCCTTAGGCTCAGGGCTGGTGGCCACTGGCATCTGAGGGTGTTGGCTTGACCTGTCCTCTGCTTCTGTCTATCCTGTGTCATCCCACATGCCCCCCCACCCCCCAGAGGAACACAGGTTGCAAACCCTAGAGGGTTGAGGTCTTGCAGGACCATGGACCACGGTTTCTCCTTGTGAGTCTGCAAACACCACATTTTTGTCCAGCACAAACTCACTCACTTCTTCTGAAAGGAGACCTCTGCCAGGTTCTTTTTTTTTGAGTTGGAGTCTCACTGTTGCCCAGACTGGAGTGCAGTGGCCGCTCCC